AGAATAGATATTCAACAACTCAAAACATCTATCTTACAACTCTTAAGCCTCTTAACAAACTTTAAAACAATATCAAAATGGCTTCCATCCATACTCGATCTTTCAGTTTCCCCTCAAACTCTCACCCCATTTCTGAGCAATTGGATCAACAATTGAACAGGTTGAGATCATCTCAAGCTGCTTCTACTTCGTCCCTTACCAGCAAACTTAGTGGCCTTAATGATTTATACAAATCAGTTGAAGACTTTCTTCAATTGCCCAAAAATCAAAAAACCGTATCTCAATCTCAACAAGTATTAGATGGATCCCTAAGACTCATTGATATTTGCTCAACATCTCGAGATATCTTGGCAGTGTCAAAGGAACAAATCCAAAACATTCAATCAGTTCTTCGAAGAAGGTGCAGTGGTGAACTTGACATTACCAGTGAAGTCGCTCAATACCTAAAAACCAGAAGAGCTTCCAAGAAGACAATCAAGAAGTGCTTGAAAGATATCAATGCAGTTGAGCCCATTGCCATTGAGAGCATGCTCAAGGATGTGCAAGCGTTGACTGCTGAAGTCTTTAACTCCTTGTTGTCTTACATCGGTGGATCACAGAAGAGTAGCTGGTCTTTCTTTAGCCAAAAATCTGAGAAGAAAGCAGCAACATCCTTTGATGCTGTTGATGCTATTCTTGAGAAGAAAGTCAATGTTGACATGTCACAACTAGTAAATTTAGAGTCAGAAATTCAAGAAATCGATGAAGTTTTGGAATCCTTGTTTAGGCATTTGGTGAAGACAAGATCAACTCTTCTCAATGTCCTTAGTAACTAGAATAGAAATTTATCCCTGTGCAAAAAAATTTTGATACCTGAATATACTATACATACAATTCTCTCTAATTTTTATCTGTGTTCTTCAAGTTTACACTTTCAATCATTCTTTCAATCGCAACACTTTCAATCATTCTTTCAATCGTACCAAAGTTACTAGACTCTTGAAAAAACAGAGGGTAAAAACTTAATCTGACAGCACAAATTGCATGATTTACTTAAGTTAATAGATATGGTAAAATTAAAAGAGATTATGATAAAATGAAGGTCGATTACCACAATAATGACTCCATGTGAAGATACGCGTTGAATTGGCTCATGAATGCATATCTTTTTAGCTGTATTATTCCATATGTCTGCTGGAGAGCTTCAGAATGTATTGTAGCAAGGCCAAACATGAATGCATGAAATAGCATGGTCTCCTACAGTCAAGCACTCTCCTTTATTCTAGGATCATGCACACAAGCTCTTACATTTTTAAAGGGAGGAAGGAGTTGAGATTCCTATATATTCTTCAAATTTTACTCAAATCTATTTAAAAAAATGCCAATAGCAAACCATTAATCTATATATTAGCCACCCCTGCTGATATAAGGTGTCATTTACACTCGTGCATAGCTGTTGCTTAGGATCATGATGGACATACAGGGATCATGATATGACATTGTATATTACACCATTATATAAATATCCTAAGTTAATAATCTGAGCATCATTCGTGTGATAATTAGCTGGCACTTGAATTCGAATCATATGAAAATTTAATAAGTACTGATACTATTCTAAGAAATTGAGAATTCATTTTCGAAATCTTGTTGCCTTTATCTGGTTATTGCTATATTGGTGGTGGAAGCCTTTACTTCATTATTTTCAACAAATTGTAATGGGTATATTTATCAGCTAGTAACATCATGTGAATTTTAATACTCCCTCCGTTACATATTACTCGCAACAAAGGAATATTTTATGTCTCACAAATAATACTCCTTTGTTGCGAGTGATATGTAACGGAGGAAATATATACAATTATGGGATGATTTTTTTTTTTTTTTTGCAGTATAACTCTCATAAGGGTATGTTTGGGTAGAAATTGACCAGGATAAGTCCAATGTAATACTTATAAAGAAATACTTTGATTTGTTAGTTGAGGTAGGTTTCAGTCTGTAAAGAATAATAAATTGCATTGCAATAGAAAATGATCTCCTCCAATAAATGCATTGCAAATTTGCAATATAACTTTATTTGTACCTTCAAGCTTTATATGTGACTAATTTCATAAACTAAGATAATCATTCCATTACAATTTTTATGTCATGGAAGCTAAAGAAAGAAGGAAAAATTTTACATTAAGGGTCATTTGCTCATTTCATATATATGTGTTACATTGTCCTTGTGATAGTGAAAGATATTAAGCCTATATAATGTGTTTTATGAAATGCCTAAGAGATATACTGCCTCTGATTTGCTTTCATCTTCAGATTATCAAGTTCCGTACTTCTACATGCTATGTATATTGACAGTTATATCAAGGCCTCAAGTTCATTGGCTTATGTATAGTCGTGTATAATGCACTAATTGATATGTATGACCATTTATGGTTAATTCATCAATACAATGTATGATATGCTTGGCAATATGGACGGGTTACTGACTTGTGGAATTTACGTTGCAGTGATTGAGCATGGAAAATGAACAGGTGATGGAGTTTGTTGCTTGCATATATAGCAGCAACTGAGCGTCGAACATGGACAGGTGATGGAGTTTTCATTGCACCAAATGAACAAGGTCACACAGAACAGAGAGGAGTTATGGAGTTTGCATTGCAGTGAATGAGAGATAAGTACTCCTCATTCCCACTCTTGTATACCGCATTTATAGGATCATGATGCCTACATTTTGTCGCTGATAACACATTTGCTGTTTAATTTTGAATTAAAAGACATAAAGGAAACAACTGAAAGGAGCTAGATTAAAATAAGACATCATCTTGCAGTTTTTGTACTGGTTGTTGTCTAACATGATATCCTTTCAATTCATTTTTTAAATGGTTATGAATATATGATCGATCGATTTTGTGAGTTGGCTAGTTGGCTGTGAAGAGACAATGTGAAACAAACCCAAGATAGACCATGTTCTCTCTTTGAGTCTCATTTAATTTTTGATTCCTTTTGTCTTCTGCTATTTTGGTATAAATAGAGGCAGAAAAATGAGATATTCAACAAATCAACTTCTATCTTATAACTTTAAGCCTCTTAACAAACTAAAAAAGAATATCAAAAATGGCTTCTTACCACACTCGATCTTTCAGTTTCCCCTCAAACTCTCACCCCGTTTCTGAGCAATTGGATCAACAATTAAACAGGTTGAGGTCTTCTCAAGCTGCTTCTACTTCATCCTTGACCACCAAACTTAGTGGTCTAAATGATTTATACAAGTGCATTGAAGAGTTTCTTCAACTGCCCCAAAATCAGAAAACCGTATCTCAATCTCAACAAGTATTAGATGGATCTCTAAGACTCATTGACATTTGCTCAACATCTCGAGATGTCTTGGCAGTGTCAAAGGAACAGATCCAAAACATTCAATCAGTTCTTCGAAGAAGGTGCAGCGGTGAACTTGACATTACCAATGAAGTCGCTGAATACCTAAAAACAAGAAGAGCTTCCAAGAAGACAATCAAGAAGTGCTTGAAAGATATCAATGCAGTTGAGCCCGTTGCCATTGAGAGCATGCTCAAGGATGTGCAAGCGTTGACTGCTGAAGTCTTTAACTCCTTGTTGTCTTACATCGGTGGATCACAGAAGAGTAGCTGGTCTTTTTTTAGCCAAAGATCTGAGAAGAAAGCAGCAACTTCCTTTGATGTTGTTGATGCTCTTCTTGTGAAGAAAATGAATGTTGATATGTCACAACTAGTAAATTTAGAGTCAGAAATTCAAGAAATCGACGAAGTTTTAGAATCATTGTTTAGGCATTTGGTGAAGACAAGATCAACTCTTCTCAATGTCCTTAGCAACTAGAATAGAAATTCATCCTTGTACAAAAATTTTTGATACTTGAATATACATACAAATGAATATACTATACATACAATTATCTCTAATTATACTTGTGTCTACTTTTCAAGTTCATACATTTTTTTTTTTAATTGAGATTCAAGTTTATTCAATCAATCACCAAACTTACTGTTTGTTAAAGTTGAAGCTCTAACTAAGGGGTTAAAAAAAATTTGACAGTAAAAAATGCATGATTTACTCAAGTTATTAGATTAAAAAAAAAAAACTTAAATAAATTAATGGATATCTCTGTTCTTGATACGAAATTCTAAGAAAAACATAATTAAAATTTTAAAAAAAATATATAAATAAAAAGACTTTTGGTTTTTATCTAAAATGATTTAATTATATGAATTTGATCATTTAATGACTCCATGTGAAGATACACGTTGAATCATCTCATAATAACTTCAGGAGCTCTTGATTAATTTGATTTAATGGGAGCGTGCATAATATTACATGGTCTCCTACAATCAGGCAGTTGCCTTCAATTTTGGATCTTATACACATTTTCTTAGTTTTTTTATATGGTTTACGTTCCTTTTCTTACAATACCAACTACTTGAATGTATTTTAAAATCATTCAAGATAAGAATCATTAATAATATGGTCATTTACACTCGTGTGCAGCTGTTGCTTAGTCTCATGATGAACATACAGGGTGTAGCGTGTGACATGGAATGTTGGACCGATATAACCGATATATATAAACTAAGCTCACCACATGAACGTATTCAGTGAAATTAGGGAGATATAATGTATTAGCTGTGAAGTTGGGAGTTCGAAAACACAGAAGAAACATTTGACAGATGATATATTAAACTAAGACATCTTTCAGATACTGTATTGGTTGTTGTATAACAGAAAATCCTTCAAATCTTCTTTCTTAATGTGAAATATTAACGAAGTATTAGTTATGATCATTGATCGATTCATTAGTTGGAAGAGACATCGTGAAACAAGCCCAATGAAGAGCATGTTGTATCACTAAGTCTCATTTATTTTAAGATTCCATTTGTCTTCTTCACATGATAGTATATAAAGAGGCAAAGAAAGCTGAGCAATTCACAAATTAAATCAAAACTTCTATCATTTCTTTGCCTTTGAACAAACTAAAAGAAAAAATACTCTAAAATGGCATCACACCACACCGATCTTTCAGTTTCCCCTCAGACTCTCACCCAGTTTCCGATCAGTTGGATCAACAATTAAACAGATTGACTTCATCTCAAGCCGCTTCAACTTCATCCTTGACTAGCAAACTTAGCGACCTTAATGATTTATACAAGTGTGTTGATGAGTTTCTTCAATTGCCTCAGAATCAGACTGTATCTCAATCTTTAGTACAACAAGTGTTAGATGGATCTCTAAGACTCCTTGACATTTGCTCCACATCTCGGGATGTCTTGGCCCTATCTAAGGATAGGATCCAAGACATCCAATCAGCTCTTCGAAGGAGGAGTAGTGGTGAACTTGACATTACCAATGAAGTCGTTGAATACCTTAAAACCCGTAAATCATCCAAGAAGACTATCACGAAGTCCTTGAAAAACATCAAGGATGCAGAGCAAACTACCAAGGATAACCAAGTTGAGAGCAAGTTGACAGAAGTTAACACAATAACCCTTGATATCTTCAAGTCCGTGTTGTCATTCATTGGCGGATCACAAAAAAGTAGCTGGTCTTTCTCGAAGAAGAATGCAGTAGCAACCATCAGCGAATTTGATGCCGTGGATGCTACTCTAGAAAAAAAGAAAGTACATGTTGATATGTCACAGTTGGTCAACTTAGAGTCACAAATTCAAGAAATTGATGAAGTTCTTGAATGCTTGTTTAGGCATCTAGTTAAAATTAGAGCAACTCTTCTAAATGTTCTTAGTAACTAGAACAAAATTTGTTCTTGTACAAAAATTTTGATCTGTAAATGATGGTTCTATACATATGAATATACTCCGATCCGTACAGTTACCTCTATATTGTGTTCTTCAATTTCATAATTTTATTTATTCATTTTCTGATAACTTTAGGTTCATAATTTCATATATATTCCATAAGTAATCTGAAAAAAGAAATAAAAAATAACAAAAATTGAACGGTTAGAAATTCTGTTATTTACTGCTAAAGTAAAACTCTGTTATCTAATGTGAAATAATTGGGAATTAATAAAATAAAATTGATGAAATGGAACAATATATAAATTTTATTTTATTTCCAATTAAGAACAATATGGTTGAATAATAGAAGGTGATTGTCAGAACTATTCCATGTGGAGGTATACGTTGATTCGCCTCGTGTATTCATAGATAATTTAGCTGTATTGATTCCAATGGTCTGCAAGAGCTTCAGAAAACTCGGTAGTTAGGGTGTGTATGATATTACACGGTCTCCTACAGACAGGCAGTCACCTACATTCTTGGACCTTGTACATTACTCTTAGAAGGGTTGAGGTTCATTCCCTTCTAATCTCTTTAAATCTTTTTTTTGTTTGCAAGCCTAATTTATATAAGGTGTCATTTACACTCGCGTGCACGCAGCAATTGCTTAGGATCATGACGGACTTACAGAGATTTGTTAGCAAATATTTGTACTCTAATGTTGATGAGTTGCTTCAACATAACTGCCCCTTAATCAACAGGCCATATCCCAAAATGTACACTAAAAATTGGTCGAGGAAGTCTTGGATGGATCTCTAAGGCATTTCGACATTTGTAGCACATCGAGGGATGTATCAGTACTGTCAAGGGAATGCCTGCAAGATATACAATCAGCACTAAGGAGAAGGTGTAGCGTTGAGCTTAACATTACTAATGGAATTTTTCGATACTTGAACACCCGAAAGAGGGCTAGGAAGATGATCAAGAATTCCTTGAATAATATCAAGGAAGCAGAGCAAAACTACAGAGGACAATGCCTAGGAGAATGTTGAAAGATGTGAACTCGATAGCCCTTGATATGTTTTAGTCCGTGCTGTCCTACATCGTTGGTTCACACTTGGAAACAATAAACTTGATCTTGTTGATGATACTCGTGACTCGATTATCTGCCAACAGAAGATAAATAGTTAAGAGATGATGAAGAACCAGATGATTACACTGGCTCTGACATTAAAGTTATCAATGAAGCATAACACTCCTTGTTTAGGCATTTAATTTAGAGTCCTATGACTAGAGCAACACTTCTCAACATCCTAAAATCGATTTGTACATATACACAATCTGTATTTTTTTAGAAGCCTTATTCAACTCAGGAATACACAATAGCTAACCACTTGAACAAATACTATTTGATGACCCTTTATTAGCATTATTCCTTAGTAATTGTACATTAACTGAAGTATATTCCCAAATTTCCCATCATTTTCTTATTGCCTTTATGATTTTGAACAAAATAAATCAATTAACATCCAATTAAAACATGTCTATTTATAATGAATATGGGATAAATTATGTGCATCTTAAGGGTGTGGTTTCGTGGAATTTGACCAGAATATGTCCTTAAGATCGAAGATATGGTTCGATTTGTTTGTTGAACGTGTCATGTTGACAGCTTGTCTGCTCTTATAATAGTAAAAATGTCAGCCTCACTCGTGCAAATTTTTCTAAGCGCACGCATGGCACTATGTTAGACGTTGAAGGTAGTCGGCACAATTAAGGCCATGATATTAATTAATTGATCTCCAACAGCTTACATCAATGCAGTTGCCTACATTATATAATTCGATCATGAATATTTATGCAATTTCTTTGTTTAATATGTATATCTCAATATTATCAAAATCTTAATTATTACACTCGTGTGAAGACGGTGAAGTGCGTATTATGGATCATGTTAATTATATATGAAGTGTATTAAATATAATTAGGTGTAGAAGCATGGGGATTTTCGATAAAATAATGGGCTAAAGATTAGAAAAAGACAAGTTAGGTGGTATAATATAAGGTTGTTGAATGAAGGGTATGCAGGGAACAATATATAACATCAAAGATCTCGGATGTATATATCATACTATCATGTATGACCATAGTTTATGTATAAGTTGGCTAGAAACTTGGCTAGGAAAGTCGTCGAAACAATTAAAAATGATGTTAATATCTTGATATGATTTCCTGCTGTATTATGTTACATTGACATATGTATATAAACAAAGACATTCGAGGAAGAATTGACAACATAAAATTTCAAAAGATCATCTACTGATCAGGTTCAATTAACAAAAAGTGGTATAGTTGGGAAGTCAATGTTCGTCCCCCTTGTCCTTGTTCGTATGAAAGCGTGTGATTTAGACAATATACTCGTACTTAAAAAAAAAAGTGGTTGGTCAGTATTATTTAAGCCTTTGGCTGCTTGAAAGTACTTCAGTTATGTTTAGAGCACGGCTGAGCTCGCTGCACTATATATAGTGTGGGAACAAGCTAAGATAAGTCATAGAAGATGTTTCTTGGCATTGATTGATTCAGCGAGCCTTTAAAAGCTAAGCTAAGGAGATGGCTTGAAGACGAGCTAATATCCTTATTCCATTCTGTTAGTGGACCATCTCAACCAAAAGCTTAAGCTGATAGTTGAGGCCCAGGAATATGTTTTATACTCTATCACGCCCCCTCATACGAGAGCCCGTTTGGGCATGAAGTGTGGATGCAGCATGGGCCCTCCTCATACCCAGCACTTAATATTCCACTTGAAAGTGGGGGGTGGATGAGATTCGAACCCATGACCTATATGTCACGCTGGCTCTGATACCATGTTAGTGGACCATATCAACCAAAAGCTTAAACTGATAGTTGAGGCCCAGGAATATGTTTTATACTCTATCACATTCTTTTCATCACTTATGAATTGAATGCAAAAGCTAGAGGGTTCCCTATGTGTTTTACACGGCCTTTATCACATTATGTGACATACATTGTCGTCGTTGGCCATAACGACCACTGTGACTAGTCCTAGAATATTGATGTTAATAACATGGTTCAATCGAAATGAGGTAATTTTACAACAAATACATCAACAACAACAGAGATTCTAGAAGTGGATTGAAGTTTCGGGTTGTGATTTGTGCTGCTGGATGAGTCGTTTTTAAAGTACAACAACATGTTCTATGGATTGTACATTTGCACCCCTAATCCCCACTTTAGGTCATGTATTAGTTTGGTTAAGAGAGTTAAATACTCGGTTTGTAGTCTTGAGTCAATTGAAAGCTAGCCTCTTTTTTGAACCGTCAACCAAAAAAAGAATAAAAAAAATCAAATGGCTAGAAATTTATCTAGAAATCATCCCTTGCAGCTTTAAAACTTCAAAATTAGCTTGAAAATTTGTCCTTTACTCCCATATCTTGCAAAGAGGTAGTTGGCTTGATTATTTCATTCATCAGATCAGATGCTTAAAAAATAATCAATACCTGATAACACGCCACTCGTGTGCATCCCTGGAAAAATTTTAACAACATACCAAGACTATTTTATACAATATGAGACTTACCTCGTCATTTCCATTCGTGTATAATATGTATGTGACAAAATATCATATTAAGATCAGAATCAAACACAATTATATAGCAAGTCGGGTGTTAAAGCACATAAAAATATTGAACTAACATTTGATATTGTAGTTACTATATATTAATCCAACATAATGCAATGTAAGCTGATCATCTTTGGATTTATTAGTTGGCAGGTTTGGTTAGGAACAAACATTGTGAAACATAACCTAAGGAAGACCTTAATTAAAAAATTTAATCATTTTATCTCTTGCTAATTATGATTAGATTCCATTTCTCTTGTCGTCGAGTATATAAAGGTAGGGAAGAACGAGCAAATCATCAAACCAAAGTTAAGCTTGCATCTTCATTAAAGCTCTTTGTCTTCTAACAATCTTAAAAAGCCTTTAAAATGGCGTCTCAACACATCCGTTCTTTGAGTTTTCCTTCAAAATCTCACCCAATTGCGGATCAATTGGATGAGCAATTGTGCAGATTGAGGTCTTCTCAAGCTGCATCTACTTCATCACTAACTAACAAACTTAGCGGTCTTAAAGATTTGTATCAGTGTGTCGATGAGTTTCTTCAACTTCCCCTTAATCAAAAAAGTCTAAGCGAAAATTGGGTTGAGGAAGTATTGGATGGATCTCTAAGGATCCTTGACATTTGTTCCACATCTCGGGATGTCTTGGTACAATCCAAAGAGCGACTCCAGGACATACAATCAGTCCACCGGAGAAGGTGTAGTGGTGAACTTAACATTACCAATGAAGTCGTTGAATACCTCAACACTCGAAAAACAGCCAAGAAAACAGTCAAGAAGTGCTTGAAAGACATCAAGGAAAATGACAACACTAACGAGGCCAATTTCATCGAAAACATGCTGAAAGATGTGCAATCTGTAACAGATGATGTCTTCAAGTCACTGTTGTCCTACATCAGTGGATCACAGAAAAATTGCTGGTCTTTCTCAAAGTTAGTCCGCCAAAGAGTTGAGAAGGAAACATCAGCATTCGTCAGTGAATTTGATGCTGTCGATGCTACTCTCGAGTTAATGATCTGCCAGAAGAAGAAAGTTCATGTTGATATGTCACAAGTAGTGAACTTAGAGTCACAAATCCAAGAAATCGAAGGAGTTTTGGAATGCTTGTTCAGGCATCTAATTAAAACCAGAGCAATTCTTCTTAATGTCCTTAGTAATTAACTAGCTACTAAAACAGAAATGTACAAAATTTTGATCAGTGAAATTATATACGAAGTATTATACACGAATATACAATCGTCTCATTAATTATTGTGGTTTCGTCCTTTATTATGCACGTTCTAATTGTTGAAATATTCCGTACATTCTCTACACCTAGTAAATCCGAAAGCAGGGGATCATTAATGAGAGTAGTTTGAAATGCATTGAAAGTTTATCTATCAAAGTGAATCTCATATTTGTGTATTATTTGATATAATATCTATACATAAAGAATAGGATTTTCATAGCTTTGGACTGATTATATTACGTGATTGCAGGTATGTTTTTCGATTAGGCGTTAATGCAGGTACTCATTGAACTGTATTATGTATTCCTATAGCAGCGAACCTGTACATGATCCAATTATCTGTAGGAACTCAGGAAGTTTTCGTAGACGAAAAGGTCATGTACGATATTAATTAGTATAGTGCTGGTCTCCTACTATCCAACAATGTAGGTAAGTTCGAGTTTTATATTCATTTGAAATCGTTGAATATATCTTAACTAGTCCTTCTTTCCAATCCTACTTGTATTAAATTTGTGTAAACATAATGCATTCATCGAAATCATTTATTGAATAATTGAATTATTAATTGGAATTATCAATGAGGCGTCGTTTCCACTGACTATCATATCGTGTACTAAGGATCATGGCGAACATACAGATTGCGAAATTTAACATTGAATGTTAGATTTGAATATACAAACACGCATTCGTGCGGATTATTAATTGACTTGTCAACTACAACAATAAATAAGCTGTTTTTTAACTCGTGAGTAGCGCGTACTTAGGATCATGGCGGGCTTAAAGGGTACAGGATTAAACATCGAATGTCATACATATGAATATACAATGTGTAAAGAGATGAACTATATCATCAAAATCGATATAGTCCATTCGAATTAGCTGGAAAGTTTGGTAGGAAGAGACATTGTAGGACATTTCACACGAGAACTCTTTCTGGTAAATTGAAATCGTTGTAAGATGATCTGCCATTTATTGTAGAATTCGTGCTGTCTTCGCTTTACTTTCGTGTATATAAACAGACGCGAAAGGAAGAGATAAGTAATACAAGTACATTATTCCAATTCCAAGACTATTTGTATTATAAACTTTTCTGCCTTTTTTTCAATAAGCTAATTTTAACTTAAAATCTGAAAATGGATTGTTATTATCTTCGTTCTTTGAGTTTCCCATCCAAATCTCACCCAATTGTTGAACAATTTGATGAACAATTGTGTCGATTGAGGTCTTCTCTAGCTGCTTCTTCTTCATCGTCGCTAAACCAAACACTAGCAAACCTTAAAGATTTGTACAGAAGTGTTGATGAGTTGCTTCAACTTCCACTTAATCAACAAGCCGTGTCACAACGATCAAAGTGGACCGAGGAAGTCTTGGATGGTTCGATAAGGCTTCTTGACATTTGTGGAACATCGAGGGATGTATTGGTACAATCGAGGGAACGCCTCCAAGACATACAATCCGTGTTAAGGAGAAGGTGCAACGGTGAACTTAACATTAGCAATGAAGTTATTCAATACTTGAACACTCGAAAGACTGCCAAGAAATTGATCAAAAAGTGCTTGAAAAATATTGAAGTCGAGCAAACTTATGTCGATGTCAATGCCATCGGAAGCATGTTCAAAGATGTAGAGGCAATCACAGTCGATATTTTTAAGACAATGTTGTCCTACATCGGTGGTGCAAAAGTGGAGTCGCCAAAGAGTAAATGGTCTATGGTTTCCAAGTTGATGCACAAGGGTGGCTCCAAGGAAGCATCGACAACAAAAAGTGAATTCGATGTTGTCGATGCTACTCTCGAGGCAATTGTAAGCCTAAAGAACACTAGTGATTTAGAGAATTTGAGGAGCCAGATGACGAAATTGGACTCTGAAATTCTAATTCTCGATGAAGCCTTAGAATCCTTGTTTAGGCATTTAGTTAAGACTAGATCAACTTTTCTCAACATTCTGAGTAATTAAGACAGAATGCAAATTTTGTGTACATATACATACAAAATGTAAATGAAAGTTCTTGTACAGATTATATAATATATACACAGTACATTATTTCCATTTTTTTCGCGTTCCATTTGTATTTTCTTAATATATATTCAAGTATGGCTTACTTATTTCTTCATCTGAAACACATAATAAGAAAATTTTTACCGGAATCATAAAATATGAAACTAATATTATCTTCAATTTTTTGGTCAAATAATCATGAATTGAATGAGATGAATGTATTCACTACAAGTAGTAATTATACTCCCTCTGTTTGATGATAATTGACACTTTGACTGGTTTTTCTTTTTGTTGGGTTGTTATATACTCCCTCCGTTTTTAAATACTTGTTCCACTTTTCTTTTCCGACCGTTTTTAAATACTTGATCCATTTCCTTTTATGGAAATCTTTTACAATATTTAATTTATTTCTCACACTTAGTGGACCCAACATAATACTCTCTCTCCTCCTATTCTTCCACTACTTTTGCTTTTTACAATTTTTTATTTTCTCAACTACCCCATTACCTCCATATTTTATTACTTTCTCCAATTTCTCCTAAAACTCCGCGCATGGAGAAATGGAGCAAGTATTTAAAAACGAAGGGAGTAATAAACTATATATAATGTTAATAAGTACTCCGTATAGTAAAATGTATTTATCATAATGTTATATTATTAGAATATCAAGTTTGTTAAAGTTATTGATAGTCACAGTTTTTTTTAAAAGTCAAAGCGTATCAATTATTATGTAATGGACGGAGTAATAGTGTTTTGTCTGCAATAACATATAACAAAATAAAGTGAAATTTATTTCTTTCTTCGGCACGTTACACTTGGTACAAGTTGAAAGAGTAAGTGCAATTGATCATGATCAAATAAGATCAAAATATGCTTTGTCTTTTGTGAATGATAGGTAAGGAAAAAATATATTCATATGATATCTTTTTTAATTCGTCTCAATAAGTACTATCGTAATATACAACTTTTATAATTTTTATTTATGAAGAATTAAAGTTATTGATCGCTAAAGTTTTGCATTGGCAAGCGTGATAAAAGAAACAGGTCAAGTAAAAAAAGAATAAAGGAAGTATAATATCCCCAAAAGATTTCCTAAATATATCTTAATATAAACGTTAGCCTGTAAAGATAGCATAATGTCACGTGCGGACTGATCTCCTTAGTCTTTTGCACGTACGCCCACTAACTTCCTTCCCTAAGGTTGCTAGTCAAGGCTTACCCCGAGTATTGTTTAAAGCAACTATGGCAACGAAAGCTAAAGTAAGTGAGTAAGTAAAGCACAAGTGAGAGAATGACTAAGTGAACTTTATATTTCTTGAGAAAGAGTGTTTTACAAATGCTTGGATGGTTTTCAAAATGAGGGGAAGGACCCTATTTATAGTCCTCCCAAGTAGCTAGAATGTTCTATTCTAGAGCTTTCTAACCTCCTTAAATGGAGGGTCCTAGAAGCTTACTTTTCTAGAGACTTCTATACAATTCTAAGTCCCTACTCATATGTACAAGTTTCCGGAGTATTCTATAATACTCTAGAGGTTACAAGTATGTACAAGAGCAACCTAGATACTTCTAGAAGCTTCCGGACGCATCCCGAGCCTTGTAGCACGTTCTGGAAGGTTCTGGAACTTTCCTCGAAATTCTGGTTGCACCATTGTGTTCATTGGGTCCAAAAACGGTGGACCACCAAGTTTGGGTTCATTTGGATTCCATTTGGTCTCCCAAATGACCCATTATTGTGTTACTGTCACTTGAGTGTTCACTAGGTTTATAAGCAGGTTGCTATTTAAAGCTCTTTAGGGGAGTTGTGCTTCCTAGCACCCATGGGCAACTCCCTTGGCCCGATTTGTTGCCTAGTGCCCAAGTGACGTTGCTTGCTGCCATTGTGGGTGTAGGGCTTGAGTTGTGACATGCTCCCCCACCCAAGTCTTGACGACCCCGTCAAGGCCGCCCCTCGAACTCTGAGATCTTGTCCTTGAATTGCCACAAGTCTTCCTCTCTTTCCCATGATGCCTCACTGTCCGGAAGACCTTTCCATCGGACAACATATTCGTTATAGCTTGGCACACCTCTTTTCCTTATGGCCCTCTTGGCCTCAATGACCTCGATGTCCCGATCATACGAAGTCACTACCGCTGTTGGTGCTCGGTGTGACTCACCCCTTGATGGATCTTCCTTGTCTTCATGATAAGGTTTTAGCATACTCACATGGAACACCGGGTGGATTTTGAGCTTTGGTGGTAGCTCAAGCTTATAGGAGACCTTCCCAACTTTCTTGATCACCGGGAAAGGCCCCTCGTACTTCCGCACAAGGCCTTTGTGCACCTTGCGGAAGACTTTAAATTGCTAAGGTAGCAGCTTGACCATGACTAAGTCGCCCTCCATGAACTCCAACGGGCGTCTATGCTTGTCTTCCCACTTCTTCATCTTCTTGGCGGCTTTGTCAAGATAAGCCTTCGTTATGTCCAACTGCTCGTGCCACCCCTTGGCTAACTTGTAGGCTGCTGGGCTGCTACCCGTGTAGCCCGATGCAACGGCTTGTGGCGTCAAAGGTTGTTGCCCCATGACTATCTCGAAAGGACTTTGTTGTGTTGCCTCGGACCTTTGTAGATTGAAAGAGAATTGGGCTATGTCCATGAACTTCGCCCAATCTCGCTGATTGGCACTCACATAGTGCCTCAGATACAACTCGAGCAAAGCATTCACCCTCTCCGTCTGCCCATCTGATTGTGGGTGAAAGCTTGTTGAAAAATAAAGCCCTGACCCAGGAGCTTGAACAACTCCGTCCAGAATTTGGCGGTGAAACTCGGGTCCCTATCACTGATGATGCTCCGCGGTAAGCCCCAATACTTCACCACATGCTTGAAGAACAACTTGGCGGCTTGCTCCGCGGTGCAGTCCTTTGGTGCCGGTATGAAAGTGTCATACTTGGAAAAGCGATCGACGACCACCATTATTGAACCACACCCGTCTGACTTAGGCAAGGCTGATATGAAATCCAATGAGACGCTTTCCCAAGGTTTTTCTGGGATTGGCAATGGCTGCAACAGACCCGCCTGCACTCGTTGCTCCACCTTGTCTTGCTGGCACACAAGACAAGTCTTGACATACGCCTCAACATCGTCTCACATATGAGGCCAATAATAGATCTCCTCCAAGAGTGCCATGGTGCGTTGGATGCCTGGGTGTCCTGCCCATAAAGAATCATGACACTCCTTTAACACATCGCGCCTAAGGTTATCCCACTTAGGCACATAGATGCGTCTTCCGACGGTGTAGAGTATCCCATCCTCTACCCAAAACCGTCGGGTCTTCCCTTCTTTGGCCAATTCAACGAGCCCCTTGGCCATTGAATCTTGCTCTAATCCATCCTTGATCCGTCCTAGGATGTTGCTAGCAACACTGCTAGCACTAGCAAAGATAGCCTTGCGACTAAGAGTGTTAGCAACCACATTGACCCTTCCTGGTTTGTACTCCATCACATAATCAAAATCGGCCAAGAAGTCTTACCACCGAGCTTGCTTGGGGCTGAGCTTCTTCTGATTTTGAAAATAGCTTGTTGCTACGTTGTCGGTCATGATGGTGAACCGACTCCCCAAGAGATAGTGTCTCCATATTCGCAAACAATGAATGATCGCCGTCATTTCCTTATCATGTATCGGATACCTCTTCTCGGTGTCATTCAGATTGCGTGACTCATAGGCAATTGGATGCCCCTCTTGCATGAGAACCCCTCCAATGGAAAAATCGGAGGCATCCGTATGTAGCTCAAATGGCTTAGAGTAGTCTGGCAGGACCAAGACAGGCTTTTCGGTGACCGCCTTTTTCAAATCATCGAAGGCTGCCTGGCATTTGTCATCCCAGCACCATTGCACCTTCTTCTTCAAGAGATCGGTCAGTGGTGCTGCTCGTGCTGAATAGCTCTTAATGAATCGCCTATAGTAGTTTTCAAGCCCAAGGAAAGAACGTAACTCTGAGACGTTCTTGGGCTCCTCCCATTCATTGATGGAGCGCACCTTGTCATGTTCCATCATGATCCTTCCAGCCCTGATTCGGTGCCCTAGGAAAGACACCTCTTCTTGGGCGAACGAGCACTTCTCTTGCTTCACATAGAGCTCGTTCTCCCGGAGTACTTGGAACACCTGTCTCAAATGCTCCAAGTGGCTTGTTAGATCGTTGCTATACACGACGATATCGTCGAGATAGACAACGACAAATTTATCAAGAAAAGGCTGGAAAATTCTATTCATCAATGTACAAAATGTGGCCGGGGCGTTGGTGAGACCGAAAGGCATCACCAAGAATTCAAAAGACCCATAGCGAGTGACGCACGTCGTTTTAGGCTCATCACCTTCAGCGATGCGCACTTGCCAATAACCCGACCTAAGATCAAGTTTTGAGAAGTACCTGGATTTTCCAAGTCGGTCAAAGAGATCAGCGACCAGCGGGATTGGATATTTGTTTTTCACCGTTATCTTATTCAAAGCCCGGTAGTCGATACACATCCGCATGCTCCCATCATGCTTGCGTTGGAAGAGCACAGGTGCTCCAAATGGTGCTTTGGTTGGCCTGATGAACCCTGCATCTAGCAACTCCTTAAGCTGCTTCCTTAACTCTTCAAGCTCTGGTGGTGCCATCCGATAGGGCGCCATGGCTGGAGTTCTAGCCCCTGGTTCCAGCTCTATCTCATGATCAACTTCCCTTCGAGGGGGAAGCCTTTTGGGCAGCTCCGAAGGCATCACATCCTTAAATTCCTCGATCACTCCGGCAACCTCTGTTGGAACCTCGCCCCCACAAGGTTCATCTTCGACTAGGGTGGCCAAGAATGTTTCTTGGCCCTTCTTGACGTCTTTCTCCAGCTGAATGGCCGAGATCATCTTAGCCTCGACCTCCTCCCGAGTAATAGGGACGGACCATGCTCCCTGGTCTTTCACAATAGTCATCGACCCGTCCTTTTCAAATGAGAACGGCCTCACC